CAAGGCTCCCCCAGGCACCAGGAGCAAGTCCTCGGGCTGCAATCAGTAAACACCAGCTGGTTGGGACTTGCCTAGACCATAAGCACCCTTGGCCTTGATGGTGGATGAGTGAGTCAGGCCTATGCAGGTGCATCTGTGACTTCAGCAGAACGGCCTGGCCCAGTCAACCCTCAGCACCCCTGCGAAGCCCATGAAACCTGGACACACAAAGTGTCACAGCCTCGGGGACCTTGGGACCCATAGAATCCCAGGCCCCTTCCACCCGTGTTGAACCAGAACCTGCATTTCAAGCATTCACGCACACCCAGGAAGCCCTCTGCACATTCAGGTCTGAGACTGTCTCGCTTAGGACTACCATGCTTGCCTCACATGACTTTCTCTTCCCATGACTTTCTCTCCCTGTGTTTCTGCTGGCTCTGACCAATCTGAGCTGCCCAAAAGGAACATCCTCGGTGGCAGTCCAGTCCCCAAGCCTACCACATCAATCAGCTCAGGTAGGTTGGTATCCTGCAAGGGCTGACCCTGGGTGGGGACAGTGCAGGTCCACAGCCTGGTCCCCTTGGCTGGGACTCATCATTCCTGAGGGCTGGGTGACTCTGGGATGGTGGCTTGGGGTTGGTGGGCCTGGGGGACTAGGAGGGCACTCTTTACTGTCTTCTTCCACTGCTTAGGTGAATTCAAATGAAGCTAGATTGGAACTGTAGTGAGACCGACCATCCTTGAAGGGGAAATTCATGTGACGAACTTACTGTAAAGACCACTGGTCACAACAGCTCACAATGAACACTCGTCTTTGAATCAAACTTCCATCAGCTGGCACTGACTTGGGCGTCTACTCTACCAGGTACTATAGCCCACTCCTCTGTACAACCTCATTTTACAGTTGAGGAAACTGAGGCTTAAGTTAGGTGTCTTGTTCACGGTTACCTAGACTGAGGGGGCAGAGCTAGGATATGGACTGGGGTTTCTGATTCCAGAGACTCCACTCTTATCTCCCACCCTGCTCCTCCTCAGGAAGTGACCCCTCCAGGCATTCTGGGGTTACAGAAGTGAACACAAAGATGTAACTCGCTCCAGTCGGAGGGTCATTTCTGAGCAGGTGCAGTATCACTGTGCATTGCTTATAATCAACCACTCATTTATATGGCACCCTAAGCAGTGAGCGAATTATTCCCATCTGCTGCACTGAGGAGGGGAACAGAGAGGTTGAGTGTTTTTCCCGGGGTCACTAGGCTGGGTCTGCCAAGGTGTGCAAAGGGCATGTGGCAGCCTGACCCAAGGTGCCCAAGTGACAGCCTTCCTGAGTCATACTTCAGAGTCCTCTGCACTCCTCCAGAGTGAAGCTGTGTCCTCCATGCCACGAGCTCAAGTTACCAGAGGCAGTTTCCTGTCCTCAGTTTGCCCTGTGACTTTGATCTACAACCCTAGCTTCCTTGTCAAACAATCTTGCCTCCCACTGGTTGGGTCACTGTGATGATCAAATATACCAGCTCTATCTCTAGCTTTAGCCCCAATCTCAGGGAGCTGCAAGGCCATGAGAGAGCCTCACCCCCACTAGAAGGGTATCAGCTAACAGGGAGCAAGAGGAACTTTTCCATACCAACACTTCCTAGTAGGTAGGAGGCATGAGGCCAGGCCCCAGAGAGGCAGCCCCTCTGGGCCCCATGTGGGCAGGGTCCACTGAATAGTGCAATATTAGTCTTGGCCACTTGGTGGCAGCACACACCCGTGCAAAGACTCGCTGGGCGCAAGGTCCAAGGCAGCTGCTTAGCTGAGTTCCTCCCCACTGTTTCAGGGCTTGGGATGTTCAGACCAGCGCAAAGGCTGACAGAACTGTACAGTGAGATCCCACAGACTCGCCGTCCTTATCACATAACTATATGTTTACTGGTTCCTCAACCATCCAACCTGCTCTTTTAATGCATTTCCAAATGAGTTGTCCACATCTCTGTATCCCTGCTTTGAATCATTACCTGCAGTTATGTTTATCTGTGTGCTTTAAAGGTAGAATTAACAGTGGAATGCACAGATCTTAAGTGGACCATTTAATGAGGATAAAAAGGCAAACACTGTGCTCCCAAATATAATAAAGACCGAAAATATTATTAGCTGAATTTGATTAGCTTGGCAACCCTGGGCTGATTATTTTTTCAGGATTAATTTCCTGATTTTTTTTTGAACAACAAGGGAAGGAGGACAAGGAACAGTTAGAATGAACATTGCCATGTGCAGGAACCTGACAACCTTAATGAATGTAAACATTATAAATTGTAAACATGAGCTAAGATTAACAACATCCACAAGAATGAAAATGGGGAAAGGGGATTTAGAGGAGGAGGAGGGAGGGAGGTAGAAGGGAAGGGGAGGAGATTTAAAAAGGAAACAAGCTGTATATATTTTGTACATGTGCCCACTCCCCAAGATGAATGCAAACATCTGCTAATAAACACAAGCAAGCAAACAAAAATGTAAACATAAAAACAACAATGAGAAATTGTGATGAAAGAATGCACGAGGAAGCCTACACCACCACAGACACCGTTCCACAGTCCACAGGCTTGGGGAGAATTTATGCTCCTCTGACTTTTGACTGCTCCTGTAGACATGGTGGGTGACTTCCCTAGCCCGCTTCCTCCTTTGAAGTGAGCATAACTCACATTTTAGCAAAGATCTCAAACTCAACTGACCACCAGGGATCTTTTAAGCAGGACCTGCCAATTCTTTCCTAATTATTTAGAAGTGTGTAAATGTATTCTCTGGGGAGTGAATGGAGTTAGGAGGCCCGGGCTCAGGTCATCTTCTGTAGACTGGGCAGACACGGGGCAAGGAGTGCTCTGAATCTCTCTGGGCCTGTTTCTCTGTCTTTCGAACAATCGCATTGTAGGCTTGTCAGGTACCAATAAGCCAAGAGAGGGGTCCCCAAGATTGGCACGGGCCTGTGACCCCTTAGGAACCAGGCTGCACAGCAGAGGGTGAGCAGCAGGCCAGAAAGCGAGGCTTCATCTGCATTTCCAGCCGCTGCCTCTCACTGGCATCATCACCTGGGCTCCAGCCATCGGTCAGTGGTGGCGTTAGATTCCCAAGAGCACAGCTTCCGCTATGTCCTGCACATGCAGGGATCCGGGCCCAGCTCAGTAGGTGACTCTAGCGGCGATGGCGAACCTTTGAGAGCTTTCCATGCTAACAAACAACTGGCTGCAGGAGGTGAGCCATAGGTTTGCCACCACTGCAAGTGCCTGATGATCTGAGGCAGAGCTGAGGTGCTGACTCTTGTGCTGGGACTGTAATTATCATGAATCTCAGAATGTACTAATAAAGAAAAGAAATTAAATCCCCCCTCCCCTGAATTGTGGAAAAAATGTCTTCTAGGAAACCAGTTCCTGGTGCCAAAATGTGTGGAGGCCACTGAGCCAACAGATATGAGAGGAAGAAGAAAACCGGAACAGTCTCACCGTTATGAGATATGACTCAGGAACTCTGGGATAAAAGAACTTTCAAACCTTGATTTGGCCCAATTAGCTATTTTACAGATGAGGAACTAAGACTCAGAGGAAAAACCCAACTTTTCATCAGGGATGTAAATTCAGCCTGGGTGCTGTGATACCTCAGACCCCAAGTGAGTGAATCCAGGCACTTCCTGTGTCGCCTCCTCTTGACAGTTTCCTCTGAGTGCATCAGTTTCTTTGTCTTTCCTCTCTTGTCTTCTTTACATAATTGAGAACTCTGAAGAAATTCTCACATTTTCCGTTGTGTACAAAGATGTACAATTTGTGGCCCCTGCACCTCCACTGCCCATTCCTGGGCCCCTACAGATTGCTAAACTTCTCCCCATGAAGTCCGTGGCTCTATGGGAAACACTTCTATCCTAATTATCTGGGCTGACAGGTGAAATGAAAGTTCTTTTGCCATTTTTTCCTGACACAACATTTGAATGAATGCTAGTTGGTAATGTGAGTTGCTTTGCTTCCCCGAGTAGAGCATGGGTTCTTTGTGGATAGGACCATGTAAAGTTTTCTTCTGTATCCCAACAAAGTTCTGATTGCTTTGAAAGGAAGATGTTCTGAAGTTGCCCCTCTGGCTGGAAAGGACAGGCGCCATGGTGGGCAGCTCCTGGTCTCTGGGAGAGACAGATCTGACCTTAAACCATAGCTCTGCCACTTACTGGTTGGGTGGCCTGGGAAAAAAGACCCCCATTCTCTGAGCTCAGTTTCCTCATCTGTAAAATAGAGGAGCATATTGTCTGTCTTCAAGAACAGTACAAAAGGAACACACGCCGAATCAGCCTGCTGCAGACAGGCAGGTCTGTGCACGCCCTACAGAGGTCCTGAGTTGCACGGAAGATGCTGAATCACCCCGCTGCAGACAGGCAGCCACCTGATTCCACACTACAAAGACGCAGAGGACACCAGACCACCAGACCACCAGACCAAGGTAATGGGTCCCACTGTTCCTGGCCCAGAGGTAGGGACTTCTGAGCCGTGGTCCCACTGCTCCTGGTCCAGAGGAAGGGCCTTCCCAGCCACCATCCTTCCCGCTGCTCCCAGCCCAGAGGAAAGGGCTTTTGGGCCACCATCCCTACCACTGCTCCCGGTCGGTCCCTGTCCCACCTCTCCCAGCTCAGAGGAGGTAATCCGTGCAGGTGCCAACGGCCCGCTCCCCCCCACACCCCCCAGTCAAAATGAGAAAACATGTAAATAAGTCTCAAAACCAGACTTCCAGATAACCTACAGCAACCCCAAAGGGAAATGAGATGGAACACTCTG